AAAAAAAAAAAAGTGGTGGCACACAACATTACACCAAACTTAATAAGTATGAATGGCAATTTAATTGTACAAATAGCAATTTATGTACATGGTCACAATCTTTGTGAGCATGTATAGGAAAGATTTGTACATAAAAACATTTTTGAATGTGTGAATAAAATCTGTAAACAAATGATGTTACACAAAGAGACTGAAAACGAGCCTGTTTGTGAACATCTGTGTACAGGTACAAAATAGTGATGTGTCGTTCAGGAACGATTCGTTCATTTTGAGAACATCTGGTCGTCTCGGGGAGTGATTCGTTCATTGTGTATTCACCGCGCATGCGCAACATCGCATAAGATTAATACACCTTTCGAGTCCTCGGTTTCGAGTCGTTCGTTTTTGTAACATGACATGACCGCTTTGTTGGATACAGAAATCCGTTAATTTTCAACCGTTCTTAGTTTTTTTTTACTCTTACTGTTACGTGATGCGTTTATTATTATAAAATAGTTTTATTTCCTACAGACTATAATTTTGTGAATATCTGTCAATATGGTTCTTTTCCATAACACTGAATGTTTTAATAAAGAGTTGGTTAATGCTTTAAACTTCATCAGGGAAAATCTTTCTGTATACTATACAGAAGATAGCACAGCATGGCATAGCTTAGCTTAGGATGTTAGGTGACAAAAGACCAAACGAATTTGACCCAGAATATCCGGAGGTGAAGTGATGAAGTAACAGACTGCATCGCGTCAAGACACAGCTACGATATTACTTAGAATATGACCTTGGCTGCATTACAGTTCTTATTCGAAACGTGATCAATATGTGCGCAAGTAGATGGGGAATTAAGATGTAACATTTTTAATTACATTATGCTGAAGTGAACGAAATGACTCGGAAAAGGATTCGTTCATTTTGCTGAACGAGATTCAAAGAACCGAATCAGTAAAATGATCCGAACTTCCCATTACTGGCACAAAGTAGCAAATTGCACATACATTTCAATTTAGGAATACTGAGATTTAGTGTGAATCACACCTGAATCCGATTGGACAGTGACAGTCCAATCACAGAGCAGAGTCAAATTGTCCAATCAGGTGGTAGCTGGGTTCTTCAAATTAGTCTCCGGTGTCTACTCTGAAAGTTTGGTTATAGTAGGCATTTAAGATGGATGACAGCGTTAGCTGGTCTGCTACTCAGGTGGGTGGAATTAGAAAATTGTAGAGAATCACAGTAAACATTTTATGTGTTACATTTTGTATGTAGGCAGCGCGCAGGTGCTTCGCTGTTAACATAGTTGTCCAAATTTATGTTTTCTATTCCAGGTGGGATACTTTATCTAGCGTTAGCCGAATGCTAATGTAGGACGTTAGCAAACCTCTGCTAGCAAGAAGGTTTTCAAGGGTAACGTTAGCCGCCCAGTACTCTTTTGCTTTGCTTAAGCATGTTAATTGTCAGGATAATTGTGAAACCTCTTAAGAGTTGACTTGTAAGTTATTCCCTGTTGGATGTGTAGTTTTGTAGATGAAAGAACTCCTCTGGTTTCATGCCCCATTAATGTAAATGTCTTTTACATTTAATATTAATCGTGCACAAGACGTCGGCCGGTTTGGAACTCACCGGGTCTTCATCAGCACCGAAACCTAACAAATTGTTTGCACCTGTGTGTTTCCGCCCTGTTGAAGCCTCAGTGGGTTTCAAACCGATCAGTGTCTTTTTACTGAGAAGCCCTGTTACAGGTAATTGTGCTACATTCAAAATGTTGCTTAAATAATGGTGCAAAGGCATTAGTAGTAAAATGTACCTACATTACCAAAAGTAAAAGTGGTCAATGTGAACAATAATAATAGAATGCATTTCACGTTAATGTATATTATTTGATTATAATTTCTGGCGCATTACTCATTTTAATGGTATAGCTGGTAAAGGTAGGGATATTTTTAACTGTTAAAATTTGAACTTATGGTGATTAGCTTGTAAATTTCTCACCAGAGATTACTGAAGTCTCATGATTAGGCTTGTACCGCATTTCTTTTTTATTCATCTAATTCTGAGAAGAAACTATAAAGTTATGGTAAGATGTGAAGAAGCAGAAACTCAAAATAAGTACACTTACGTACACTGCTTTTTCCAGCAGAGTTTGATGCTGTTACTAAATTAATGTCACTAGTAAGCATAGGCTAGGAAAATTAAGGAAAGATCAGGTGAGTAGGGGAGGAGAGGCTCAGATGTGCAAGAAATATGAATTGATTAGAGAAAAGTTATTAAAACTCCTGTTTAGCTTCAAAGTGCATCATATACTGAGTAAGTATTAAGAGCTGTTGGCTTTTCCTGCATGTTTGATTTTTATGAAATGTTAGTTTGTACAGGTTTCTGTGATCAGAGTAATTGTTATAACTAGGACAGACATTATAGGACTAATTCCCCCCATGTATCTTTCAATAGGCCACAACACACGGACAAGAATATGGGACTTTCTGCGAGGAGGACCGATGGCATTCCAGGCCCCTGTCACTCCTACATATGGACATCAACTGCAAGTTGATCAGGTGAGAAACATTCTAAAGTTGTGGTGGTTCAGGTACTATATACTAGCACTGACAAGTTCAGGTCAGACTGTAATTTCTTAGCTCTTTTTTTCCCTGACAAACTAGTTTCAAAAGTGTTTGAGCAACTTTGATATAAATTGTAATGAAAATTCTCAACAATGCAGTTGTACACAACAGTTCATTCCAATCGGACCCATTTTTTCCACTAACAAACTTCCTAGTTTGATATATGGTGTTTTAATACAGCAGCTGTACGTGTTAGCATCTTTGTGTTGCATTTGTATCCACCATGTTTGTACACAGGGTCAGAATGAACTGTAGTGTAACAGTTTCACTTACTATGTGATAATGAAGCTTTAGTAAAAACCTCCAGTGTTCCATCAGTAATGTTTATGGCAAACACTGATTAACCATTGTTCTCAAGTGATAGTACAGCTGGCAGAGTCAACTCTCACAGGTTCTGATCCTCCAAATCGCCAGAAACAAGGCATCACGGCTCTGGAGTTTTTTCCTTGATGCTGCAAAATGTCCAGGTACTGTGTGCAGTCTAGTTGATAACTTTTGTATTTGCCTATAAGCCTAAAACATGTCTTGTAACTTTTGTGCACTTAACTATACTGATCAGGCATAACATTATATTCATTTAACTGCAAACTCCATAAATGTTAAGGCAGAAGTGTTGCATCAGGTTAAACAATTCTCTAAATTAGGCTTTAAGTATGAATGGCAATTTAATTGTACAAATAGCAATTTATGTACATGGTCACAATCTTTGTGAGCGCTAGCAGTTAAGGCACAGCATGGGTTCAAGTCAGGAAGGGCATCTGGTGTAAAACATGGCCACCCCTGAACCAAGAAAACTTGTAGAATATTCTACAAGGGTGACTGTGGTATACTTAATATTGGAGCATGCTTGTTAGTTTGGTTTAAAGAACTTGACTTTTTTTTTTACAAAATAGTGATGTGTCGTTCAGGAACGATTCGTTCATTTTGAGAACATCTGGTCGTCTCGGGGAGTGATTCGTTCATTACAGCCTTGAAGCCCCGATGAGCTGGAAAGAATTTGTCCTGTAAAATAAATGCACTCTTCCTGCACTGGATCATGGCACAAAACCAGACAGTTTAAGTTGTAATAGCTTTATTGAAGGAAAAAAAAAAGCCCCAACAAGATTGATGTTGAACACAGGGGCCTTTAAACACAATCTCCGACATGGAGAAGTCATCACAACTGTGGTCCAGGCACATGCAGAAAATGTGAGGTACTCTCTACCTTGATGGCTCCACCAGCAGGA